ACCCCCCAGGGGGATTCCGCGTGCCACCCCGGTTGAAAGCCCCCCCCCCCCGCTTCAGTCGAGTGGCGCTGTCTCAGCATTGCAGCGAGGACATTCCAAGCGGCGTCCCTGGTTGGGCCCCTCGGTTCACATTCTTCCTCTCGTCATCACCACCCCCACCACCACCCCCACCACCCCCCCAGGTGATTTCAGGGCGGAGTCGAGTGGCCGCCAACATAGTTTCTAACCGTTCGGAGGAAGCTGAGCAGATCCGAGCACGCGGTTGCTTTGTTGTTACCGTACAAGGGAGAGACTCTGTGTGGTGGGCGGTGGGGGTGAGGGCGTGGGGGATTCACAGGTGTTATAGGCTTGCAGATGCAATGATTAGCGCAGCTGGACTTGCTCGTTCTGTTCCATCGCCTGGCGCGGAAGTTGACACCACGGGCAAGGTTAATTTCAGTTTTTCAGTTTTTTCATGTTTTCATTTGTTTGGTGTTGCCCTGTGAGCCATTCGGCTCTTGAATCGGGTGCAACCGCAACAAGCAAAAAACATGAACAAGAAAACACCTTAAAGTGACTATGTGCAAACAGAAAATCCAAGAAAAGACAGCAAAATATTCCAGAAAAAGCACCGTACACCAACGCTGTGTGCAAAAATCCCTGTGGGATGCAAGTCAAACAACAACAACCACAAGACAACTTAGATTAAGGCCATCGGTCTAACTCTGTACTACAACAAACAAACATGGCCACACCAAAAAACTTTTAGAAATCAACAAAAATAATGCCATAAAAGCAATGTAACAGTGATGTTAAATGTCCACCCCGCACCCCAACGCCTCTGCCCCATCCACTACCTGGTATCGTGTAGGCCCATGCCTGCGAGAGTGATGGTAGTACACCAATTCATTCATGACTAGAGTATTAAACATGTACCCTTCGCATGGCTAAGTGCATGGGCTTCCTGCTGGTACTATGGCGATTGCTCGGTTTGTACTGAAGTGAAACAGACCCCAAGTCCGAACATTGGCCCGGCGTATTGCATTAAAATACAAACTGGCCTGATAACTTGATTTGAAGCTTTCGTGACTGCAGGAATTACTCTTTGGTTCTTTCGGTAAAGTCACGTAGAAAGAAAATAAATTAAAGACACACAGGCAACATGTGTATCTCTCTCTGTGTGTCTCTCTGTGTGTGTCTCTGTGTTGTCTCTCTCTGTCTCTCTCTGTGTGTCTTTGCGTTGTCCCTCTCTGTGTGTCTCTGTGTTGTCTCTCTCTCTGTGTCTCTCTCTGTGTGTCTCTCTGTGTGTCTCTCTGTGTCTCTCTCTTTCTGTGTCTCTCTCTGTGTGTCTCTCTGTGTGTCTCTGTGTTGTCTCTCTCTCTGCTTGTGTGTCTGTCTGTATGTCTCCGTATCTGTGTTTTGTCTCTCTCTCAATTTAAGTTCTACCTGATGACGATTGCTTGTGTTGCAATCGAAACGTCGTATTCTATTATTTAATTCATTTTCTTTCTACTCGCCTGATAACGTCATCAGCCCGCTGGTGCACCGCTTCAGTGTTACATCCTCGTGTGTGAGCGCGATGGGTTTCGCCGGAATTCCTCCCACGCGAAGTCAAAATGCCTAAGAGTGGAATTGTCTCGAACACTCCCAACGTGAGAGGGCACTCCTGACAAAAAACAAGTTCCATAATACGGGTCATTTTTTTTCTTGGGTTAGATCGCGTAAATATATAAATGTGTCGTTTTTAAACCCGCCGTCATCCGACACGGCCAACAGGAAATGCGAATTCGTTACTAGCACACCGCTAACCGGTGTGTTGGAGAGCAAATCCACAGCATTTACAATCTGAGTACGACGTTTCGCTATACGTCGATGGGGGTTACATGCGAGCAGACAGTCACAGGTACTGCTATTTTCGTGCACACAAACCACCGGATGTACACGAACAAGGTGCATGCATAATGTCCGTCGATTACCATATGAATAGCCCTCCCGGTAATGGATACCCATTGTCATGTATTTGCCTTCATTGACCCCCCCCCCCCCCCACTTCTGGCCTTCGCATAAGAAGGGCTCACAAGTGACGTTATCACATCATTCCCTTTATTTAGGGAATGAAACATGAGGTTTTCTCCACAAATCTGGCTGCGGGTTGGTGGAACACGCAGAGATTTTGTGAAATTCCCAAAACCTCGCTTCGGGGAGGCGAGGGTTGGTGGCCAGCAGATGGCAGTGGAGCAAACGGGAGCCCGTCTGCTCTGGTTAAATCATTACAATTGTTCCGTGCTGGCTAAAAATAGGTGTTGAACCTTCAACACGAAGGGTCAAGCGGGGTCAATGAAACGTTCCTGGCGCGGCTGCACCGCTCGGCGGGTGCTGTGGACGTACTGGTCCCCGCCATAGGAACGTCGACATTGCACCGATGGCTCAGAGCTGAATAGGGCGGTGATACGTGTGAAATTGCACTGCCCAAGCGCCGTGTATACCATATAGTGATGGTAATAGTTTTAGTCAAGGAGAAGAAGGGGGTTTAGAAGTGCAGTACAACAATGGATTTTTGCTGCACTGGCCTGCGTAGGGTCCGAGAACTGACGAGATCGGGAATGTTCTGGAAACGGATTAAAAAATAATAATAAAATAATTTTCCCACCCAGGAAAGCCCCACTGCGTGACCGTGTGCGTGGGGAGCGGTGGCGCAGTGGTGAGCGCGCTCAGCTTGCAAAACCCAGCGACCCGGATTCCATTCCCGCTCACGGCCACCCACCAGGGACGCTTGTGAAGGCCGTGACGGCCTTCACAGGTGCTCGCGAACAGCACTTGCCCCAACAGTGTGTTAATGCTATACGGGGGATCTTTGTATTTGTCATGGTTCACGCACTGCGCTCCGAGCCCGGCCAACCGGGTGGGTGGCCAGCACTACGTCCGGTCGCCTTTGTCTTCCCACTGCTGTTTACACACCGCACCAGGTAGTCATTTATGGCTTAGTCGACCTAGGGGAGGCCCAGGACCGGTTCAGATAATCCGTCACTGGCGCTGGTGACCGTGAGCGGGCGAATCGAACTCGGGTTGAAGGGGGTTCACAGCGCGCACGGCCCCGCTAACCGCTGCGCCTCCACTCCCTAGACAGACAGGCAACACGCGCACACACAGACAAAGATCCCCCGTGTAGCCTTAACAGACTGTAGGGGAAAGAGCTGTTAGCGAGCACCTATAAAGGCCGGCACGGCACACGAGGGGGTGGGTGGCCAACACCACGCCCGGCCGCCTTTGTCTCCCCAGTGGCGATGTTTACACACCGCACAAAGTGCTCATTTGAGGTTGAGTCGACCTAGGGGAGGCCCAGGACCGGTTCAGATAATCCGTCGCTGGGGTTAACCATGAGCGGCGAATCGAACTCGGCTCGCCGGGTTTCGTAGCGCAACGTAGCGCTAACCGCTACACTACCGCTTCTCACACGCACACACACGCGCGCACACACACAAACACACGCGCACACACAAACACACACACACGCGCACACACACACACACACCCACACAAACACACACACACGCACGCACAAACACACACGCACAAACACACACGCACAGACACACAAGCACACACCCACACACGGGCACTAACACACACGCACACTGTATATGTAAAACCGCTCGAGTGACGCGCGAGGTTCGCCCCGATGACGACGCCGCCGGGGGGATCCCCTTAAAGGGTCGCTCCTCTGCGCAGCGCACACGCGAGCGTCTGCGGTGCTGTGCGCGCTCTCCAGCCGGAACAAGTCTCCCTCTTCTCTCTCTCATCTCTCTTCTCATCTCTTCTCTCTCTTCTCTCTTATCTCTCTCTCCGACTCTGTCTCGCCCGCCTCTCTCGCTGTGTCGCACGCAGCCTGCACCGTCGACTTTCCGCAAGGCTCGACGTCGCCGTGCCCCTCCGCTCGTGCCGAGTGGTTCACCGACGCGCAGCAGCGATCTCAGCGCACCCGTGCGTCTCGCTGCGGAACCGTAGACCCGCCCGCCTAGCTCTCATCAGCAGCAGCATCAGCAGCAGCATCATCAGCAACATCATCATCATCAGCAGCAGCATCATCATCAGCATCATCAGCATCATCATCAGCAGCACCATCAGCAGCATCATCATCAGCAGCAGCATCATCATCAGCAGCAGCAGCATCATCAGCAGCAGCAGCATCATCAGCAACATCATCATCAGCAGCAGCAGCATCATCATCAGCATCATCATCAGCAGCATCATCATCAGCAGCAGCAGCAGCATCATCATCATCAGCAGCAGCAGCAGCATCAGCAGCAGCATCATCAGCAGCATCAGCAGCAGCATCATCAGCATCGGCAGCAGCTCTACTGGTGTCAATATCGGCATCAGCACCTCGTAGCAGCGGAGTCATCGGGAGGTTGCACGCTTGAATTTGGAGCAGGTGACTGGGAGACGTGAACTACCAAACATATTTCACGCACGGTAGAGACGCATCATTGTCGGCAGCATTATCGACAGCAGCCACCGTCACATCAATTCTATCAAGTAGATGTCGTCTACTCAACACAGAAACTGACGTGTCATCATCAGGAGCAGCAGAATCACGTAGATTGCTATATTATCGTCATTATCATCAGCATCATCACCACCAGTTGCAGGATCGAGTACTGTCACTTGCATCATCGTCAGCATCCTCATCAGCAGCAGCAGCATCGAGTGCTGTATATTGCATCATCATCAGCAGCAACATCATCATCGTCAGCATCCTCATCAGCAGCAGCATCGAGTACTGTATATTGCATCATCATCAGCAGCAGCAGCATCATCATCATCAGCAGCGCGGCACGGACTCCAGTTCGCTCCGCTCGCCCCAGGTCGCAAGAAGCGCTGCCACCGCGGAATGGCTGTGCGGCCGGGATGGAGACGAGGTCTGTGAGCGCGCGCTCGGAGGCGGCGGAGGAGGAGGAGAAAGAGGCGAAAGAAGAAGTGGAGGAAGAGGTGGAGGTGGTGGAGGAGGAGGAGGAGGAAGAGGAGGAAATCACGAGGTCTAGGGGAGACCACGCCATGGGGGTCCGTCCAAGCGAAACCGGCGGATCCCCCGGGGTGGACTCCACCCACGGCGGCAGCGGCAGTCAGATGGAGGAGGGGGGAGGAGGAGACCTGAATCTCGAGTCGAACCCGACCCCTGACATTTGCGGTGGCGGCGGTGGCGGAGTGAGTGTCTTAGCGGACATCGCCGGAGCACGTGAGACCGGCAGGCGGCAGAGCGTCGACCGCGTGGCAGGGCAGCCACCGGCCATCGGCAGCGGCACCTCGGACGCGCGGAACACCCTCGGCCTGGATCGGTTGTGCACGACGGAGAATGGATCCGGGCAGGAGGCAACGGCGCCATCGGAAGAGGTGAGCATGATCACCAGCAGCAGCAGCAGCACCAGCAGCAGCAGCAGGATCAAAGTCCATCGCCACCAAGCTAGCCCCGGATCCGTCTCGCGGTGCAAGAAGAAGATCAAGGAGGATCGCCATCCGCAGACGGCCACCGCCACAAGCACGGACGAGGGGGGGGTCGCCTCCCGGGAGGAGATGAACGGTGGGTCGGGACCCCTCCCGGTGGTCACGGTGACCGAGCACGAGAGCGACCACCTTGAGCCGGACTCGAACGAGGCGGCGAGTTCGTCGGACGCGGCCGTCGGATTCGCGGCTGCGGCGGAGACGCGCGGATTGAGTCCCGCGGACGTGGCCGCGAGCCGGTCCCCGTCTCCGCAGCGCGTCCACTCGGCGTCCTCCTCCGACGGACTTGTGTCCTCGTCGTGCGAGGAGTCCGAGGGAGGAGGAGGAGGAGGTCAAGAGTGGCCGGGTGCTGAAGGACAGGGCCAGAGGAAGGCGGCCAATGGAGAGTCGAACAAGCGACCCACGGTGAGGAGGGATTTTGGTGTGCTTCGTGTGCGCGTGGACGAATTCTTATTTTGTGTCTGCTGGGATTCTTTGTACGAGGCCGTGCGTGGCCAAACGTGCTCATCGGAGATGCGACTCGGGCTCAGATGAGTAATGCGTTTCTGGTGCGCTGTGTGACCATCGCCACTGGGGAGACAAAGGCGGCCGGGCGTGGTGTTGGCCACCCAGCCACCTATTCGTGTGCCGCAGTGCCGGCCTTCATAGGTGCTCGCTAACAGCACTTGCTCCAAGCGTATGATGTTAAGGCTATACGGGGTATCTTTGTCTTCGTTGCTATTTCACGCGACGTGTTTGAACCGGTTCTACGTCTCCCCCTAGGTCAACTCAACCTTAAATACGTTACCTGGCGCGGTGTGTAAACATCGACGCTTGTGGGACAAATGCGGCCCGGTTTGGCGTCTGCCAGCCACCTCCTCGTGTGCCACAGTGCCGGCCCTCACAGGTGCTGCTGCTACTCGCGAACAGCACTTGCCCCTACAGCCGGTGTTAGGCTTTGCGGGGTGGGTCTGGGGGATCTTTGTCTTTATCTAAATTCCACGTGGCCGAGCCGCAGCCATTGCCTGTTGCTTCTGGAGAATCCAGCAACAACAGCGGCGCAGTCGGCTCGGTTAACCCGAATGAACGAAGTCACCACGCGGTTCTGCTGTGCCTACCGATACCACACAGACCAGCGTGGTGAAGTGTGCTTCAGATAACCCCCATCCAGCATTGGCATCCAGCAGTGGATTGACAACATACCTTGTTAGCTGGCCCTGGCCCGTGACCTTTTTTTTCGTGTGCCAGCGAGCCTTTGACGACATTTCCACGTGGCCCCAAAAAAGGGGCAACCTAGCCTGGCACGAGAGCTGTTGTGACGTCACCGGCACGCGTTGGCGAATGGCGGCTGTTGTTGTGTTTTGGGAGTAGTGGCGCAGTGGTTAGCGCACCGCGTTACGCGACAACGCCCAGTCCAAGTGCGCTGCCCAGCCACGGCTAACATCTCAGCGGCGGATGATGATGATAACTGAACCGGTCCGTGGCCTCCCCTAGGGCGACTCAGCCATAAATGAGTACAGTACCTGGTTACGGTGCGCAGATATCAGCAATGGGGAGACAAAGGCGGCCGGGGGTTGGTTCGCAAGGCGTGTTTCTCGCACGGCTGATCTATCGGCCATCGCTAACAGGACTTTCCCGAACAGTGTTTAAGCCTACACGGGGGATCTTTGTACACGTGTGTGCATGTATATGTGTGTGTGTGCATCTCCTTTGTTGGCACAGCGTCATTGATGGACATTCCACATTCATATGGCAGGGGATACGTCTTCCCTGCAGCGTCTATTGACCACCACATTGCGTCGTGGCCTTTGTATGTTGAACTTCTTTCGCACCGTACGTAGCCAACCTTGCTAATCGGAGGCGCGGGGAGAAGGACAACAAACCAACACACAAAAAGCAATTGGTCAAGAAGTGAGTTTTCAATCTATCACGGTGGTTCTTGACCTTCGGGGTCCACGCATCCCATGGGGGTGCGAGATGCCCTTTCAGAGAACCTAGGGGGGGGGCAGTGTGCAGACTTCAGTAAAGAACCACACTGATCTATGAGATGACAGCACAGCAAGTGGGTACGTGCAACCTTGATGAGCAATGTCCCCTCGAATGCACCGGTGGGTTTTCTCCGGGCATTTTGGTTTCACCCCCCACCCCCCGCCGCACACGTGGCTCCAATTACCAAATCTTCCCTTGTTAAATAAATAATATTATTAACATCATAATTATTATTATTTGAACGTCATTATCGGTCCACGATCCACCCACTGCTGGATGGAGGCCTCAAGATACACGTGGTACGGACCCCGCACTTTTAAGGGCCCCGCGCTAAACGCTTTCAAGCTATCAATTTCGGTTCAGTGAATCTGCACTTGCTCTATTACTACAGTACTATACCGCCTTCGACTTTTATGAGCGATTGGGTGTTTAAGGTTAGCGATTTGTGGTATTATCTGGCTGTATAGCAAATGCAAAAATACAATTACCCTACTATGCAAGTTACAAATTTGCGTTTTAATATTTACGTGGTTTTTTGTTGTTGGTATTTAGTGCCCCTTTATAACAAAATATGCTACAGGCCCCGCACTAGCTTAATCCGGCACTGGGTGGACGGACGTCCTTCTTGAGCGTCGTGTTTTTTCCCTCCCTTTGACCGGCACTCCGTGGCTAGTCTCGACCACCGTTGCAGCAGTTGCGTTCGTTGACAACTTCAACAATAATACTACTACTAATAATTGCAGTCACGTGCACGTCTGCACTTGAAACGACGCTATTGGCTTTTCTCTGCGTGGTATCACAGTCGGCTATATTTGCGGAATACACCACGCCGCCGTTGACCCTGGCCATTGACCGAGCAACCCAACGTTCCTACCAGCTCCCTCCGCAGGAGGAATGTGTTATTTTACATCGGAGGAATCCGATGAGCCGCGAAGCTCCGTTCTTCACAGAGGTTCAGTCGGGGGCGGGCAAGAACTTTCCAACAACAAACAGTGCGAAAATACGACAGCAGTGCAAAGTACAAGACAGTTAAAACAAATCACCCAAACACACACAGTAGAACCCCGCTTAACGACGGTGATTGGTTCCATGAATTGGGTCGTTAAGTGATTTGGTCGTTGAGCGAGTATCGGAGATGCACGTTAAAGGCTTTATTTGTTCCGATAGCATTATTACCCATAAAACGTACTTTATAATGTTTAAACAATGGATATTAATATATAAAGATCCTCACAACATTATAAACACATACTATTAACAGAAACGCGGTTAATTGATGCATTAATTAATATTTACTGTACCGACAACAGCCCAACGTTAACAGGGGAATGGTCGGTTGGCGAACACATTGGGCTCTATGGAGGTCCGTCGTTACTATACACTACACTGTACACTACTATACACTACACTATACACTGCACTAAAATACACTACACTATACACTACACTATACACTACACTACTATACACTACACTATACACTACACTATACACTACACTATACACTACACTACTATACACTACACTATACTATACACTATACACTACACTATACACTACACTACTATACACTACACTATACACTACACTATACACTACACTACTACACTACACTATACACTACACTATACACTACACTACTATACACTACACTACACTACTATACACTACACTATACACTATACACTACACTATACTATACACTATACACTACACTATACACTACACTACTATACACTACACTATACACTACACTATACACTACTACACTACACTATACACTACACTACTATACACTACACTACTATACACTACACTATACACTACACTACTATACACTACACTACTATACACTACACTACTATACACTACACTATACACTACACTACTATACACTACACTACTATACACTACACTATACACTACTATACACTACACTACTATACACTACACTATACACTACTATACACTACACTACTATACACTACACTACTATACACTACACTACTATACACTACACTATACACTACACTACTATACACTACACTACTATACACTACACTATACGCTACACTACTATACACTACACTACTATACACTACACTACTATACACTACACTACTATACACTACATTACTATACACTACACTACTATACACTACACTATACACTACACTACTATACACTATACACTACACTAGACTACACACTACACTACTATACACTACACTATACACTACACTACTATACACTAGACTACACACTACACTACTATACACTACACTATGCACTACACTACTATACACTACACTACTATACACTACACTGTACACTATACACTACACTACTATACACTACACTATGCACTATACTACTATACACTACACTATGCACTATACTTCTATACACTACACTACTATACACTACACTGCACACTACACTGCTATACACTACACTGTACACTACACTACTATACACTACACTATACACTACTATACACTACACTACTATACACTACACTACTATACACTACACTATACACTACTATACACTACACTATACACTATTATACACTGCACTACTATACACTACATTATACACTTGACTACTATACACTATACTACTATGCACTACAGTACTATATACTATACACTACACTATACACCACACTGCTATACACTACACTATATACTACACTACTATACACTACACTTTACACTACCCTACTATACACTACACTACTATACACTACACTACTATACACTACACTACTATACACTACACTGTACACTACACTACTACACACTACGCTGTACACTACACTACTATACACTACGCTGTACACTACACTACTACACACTACACTACTATACACTACACTATACTACTATACACTACACTATACACTACACTATACACTACACTACTACACACTACACTACTATACACTACACTATACACTACGCTATACACTACACTATACACTACACTACTACACACTACACTACTATACACTACACTATACACTACACTATACTACTATACACTACGCTATACACTACACATTGGGCTCTATGGAGGCCCGTCGTTAAGCGATTAGTCGGTAATAAGGGTGGTAATTAAGAGGAGTTCTACCATTCTTTGGGTTTTTCGGTAAAGTCACGTAGATAGGTTCAAAGAAAATAACAAAAAACATTTATTATATATGTTATGTTTTGTTATTTTTTGTTATTTTCCTTGAACCTATCTACGTGACATTACCGAAAGACCCAAAGAATATGAATTCCTGCAGTCACGAAAGCTTCAAGTCAGGGGTTCTATTGTACAAATAAAACTAAACCATCCCCACCCTACCAGACAAAGCCCATTCAACACCACCAACAACAACAGCCACAATAGGAAATTAATTTACAAAGAGCAGCAGCACCTCCAAAACT